ATGAGGCAGGCAGGTGGAACCACTGAGCTAAATCCCCGGCCCAGGAAGTTCATTTTTAATGACTAATAAAGGTTAATTTAACCATAAAACAAACAAACAAACAAACAAACCTATTACAGTGGCCAAAAAGTTTATTGTTCTTACATAACATAACATGAAGTCAGGAGTCAACTCCAGGTTGATGTAGAAGCTTACAGTAGAAACCCTGACCTGTTGTACCTTTATTGTTTTTGTTTGTTTTTGTGTTTCTGTTTTTTTGATACTGGGGAGCGAACTCAGGCCCTGTGCTTGCGAGGCAGGCAGTGGAACCACTGAGCTAATAAATCCCCAGCCCCCGTTTATTCTTCATGTACAACAGTGCCCCTGTTTGCTACAGGATCTACTTTATCTCTGGTCATTATGCCTTCTTTTTAAACAATAAAGATTGGTGAATGAAGTTTGATTAAAGGAGGAAAAAGTCTAATCTTTTTTTTTTTTTTTTCAGTACTATGGATTGAGCATAGGGCCTTTGCACTGAGCTACATTTCCAGCCCTCTGTGTTTTTTTTGTTTGTTTGTTTGTTTTTGTTTTTGTTTTTTAAAGACAGGGTCTCAGGGACCAGGGATTTAGCTCAGAGGTGCCGCTGCCTGCCTCGCAAGTGCAAGGTCCTGAGTTCAATCCCTAGTACCAAAAATAAGTAAACAAACAAATAAAAAATACAGGGTCTCCCTATCTAGCTCAGGCTGTCCGTGAACTCACTATGTAGTCCAAGGTGGCCTTGAACTAAGGGCAAGGCAGTCCTCCTGCCTCAGCCTCCTGAGTAATGGGATTACAGACAGACATGCATCACCAAGACCAGATCTAGCCCTCTTTTTAAAAATGTTTTTGAGACAGTCTGTCTAAGTCAGTAGGTTGCTCAGGCTAGGCTCAAACTTGGGATCCTTCTGCCTCAGACTCTAGGGATTACATGCATGTTCTGACACGCCTAGCCAGCCTCATCTTTCCTATTTAAAGATCTATCCTGGCCAGGAAATGGTGGCATATGTCTGTAAGACTAGCACTCTGAAAGGATGGGGCAGGAGGATTATAAATTTGAGCCTCGCCTGGGCAACTTTAGTGAGACCCCATCTCAAAAGAAAAAAAAAAACGGTCTGGATATGTAGCCAAGTGCATATGTCTTGTGTTCAATATCCAGTAACAAAACAAACAAGTTCAGTAGCAGTGGATGCCAAATATGTGACAGTCAGAAATGTCTCCAGACATTACCAGATATCTCCTAGGCAGCAAAATAGCTCCAGGTCTAAATTTATCTAAAGGGTGAATTTTGTCATATGTAAATTTTGTGTTAATAAGTGTGATTTTTTTTAGAAAAGGAAAACTCATTGGTCCTTTTTAGAAGATTTTTAAAAACTGATAATTAGAATCAAGCATTTATTCTTTTTGGTTTTTTGAGACAGGGTCTCAGTATGTAGTTGAGACTGACCTGGAACTCACTATGTAGCCCAGGCTGGTCCCGAACTCACAGCGATCCTCCTGAGTGCTGGGATTACAGGAGTGCGCCACCACACTTGGCCAAGCATTTATTCTTTATCCTATGTTAATTTTATGTCACAGTAACGAAGTACTTATTTGTTTGTTATTTGGGACAGGGTCTCATGATGTAGTTCAGGTTGGCCTTGAACTCAGTGTGAGCCCAGACTCTTGAGCAGTCCTCTGTGAGCAGTCCTCTGTGAGAAGTCCTCCTGTCTCAGCCTTCCCAAGTGCTGAATTATAGGCCGTCATGCCTGGCCAAATAGTTGATATTTGGATGAATTTTTTGGCATTATATTTTAATATTCCCAGTGGTCTATTTTTCTATCACTAGCAGTAGTTTCAGCCAGGCACAGTGACACATGCCTATAATTCCAACCACTGGCTGAGGCCGGAGGATCTAAGGTCCAAAATCAGTATAGACAGCTTACTGAGAACCTGTCACAGAAGAAAAAACTAAAGGTCTTGAGATGTAACTCAGTGGCAGAGTATGTAATAAGCTGAATGAATCTGATCCACACTTAGGTACAGAAGGAAAAAAGGAAAAGTACAATTTTGTCTATTTTCTTTTCCTCTTCTCATTTATCACTTCTGATTGATTTTGGCTAGGAAATCAGATGAGTAGAGCAATTGTTTAAAAGAATAAAAGGTCATATGTGGTGGTATACACCTGTACTTAGGAGGCTGAGGCAAGAGAATTGCCAGTTTGAACTGGGGAGACCTTGTTTCAGGAAACCAAAAAAAAAAAAAAAAAAACAAAAAAGACTGGGGTGCTACTCTGGGTCCTCAGTACCGCAAAAAATAAAAAAAAATAGTGTATAGTGAGGGTACATAATGTTTATCTGTGAAACTTTTTTTTTTCAGTTATGCATAGTAGATTACAGAGCTGAATGTTTTAGTTCAGGCATGGTGGTACACTCCTGTAATCCCAACACTAGTGAGGCTGAGGCAATAGAATTGTTGCAAGTTCAAGACCAGCCTGAACTACACAGCAAGACCCTGTCTCAAAAAAATAATAAATAGTGGCCGGATATGGTGGTGCAAGCCTATAAACTTTTTTTTTTTTTGGTACTGAGGATTAAATTCAGGACCTTGCACTTACCAGGCAGGTGTGGCACCACTCAGCTACATCCCCAGCCTGGAACTTTGTAGAACTTTCAGTGATAACAGACAGCCCACTGTGGCATAGGTGCCTTAGACTCACCAGCACTGCTTTAATCCTGGTACTCAAGAAGGTTGAGGCAGGAGGTTTCAGAGTTCTAGCCTTGTGTGGGCAATGTAGCATTTTGGTAGTAAGACCTCTCAAAATGAAAAAATGCAGGCTGGGGATTTAGCTCAGTGGTTCCAACATCTGCCTTGCAAGCACAAGGACCCAAGTTTGATCCCTGGTACCCAAAACAAAGATAATAATAATTAAAATTTTTAAAAATTAAAGTCAAAAAAATTTAAAAGGCTGAAGATGTATCAGTGTGAAAGCCCTGGGTTCAGTACCCAGTACTGCAAAAAAAAAATTTTTTTTTTTCTTTAAAGTCTTTTTTTTTGAGACAGGGTCTCATTATGTAATTCATACTGGCCTAGAACTCATGGCAATCCTCTTGCCTCAGCCTCCTGAGTGCTGGAATTACAGGCGTGTGCCACCATGCCCAGCTTTAAAGTCTTATTTATAATCATTTCCATAATATTTTAACTCTGGAGATAGCTGGGAATGAATAAGGGTTTTGGGGCATGTTTCTGTAATATATCTCCATCCACTCCAGCCTGCTGTCTTGTTTTTTTAAAATTGCTGATCAGTAGTCCATTGGAAAATTTTGTCATAATTTACTTAAGTATTTCCTTTAAGGTATATGCTTCAATTTTTTCCAGTTTTTTGTTTGTTTGTTTTGTTCCTGGGGATCAAACTTGGGACCTTGCACTTGGGAGGCAGACAGTGGTACCACTGAGCTAAATCCCTGGCCCTTGTTTCCATTTTTTTCTTAAGAAAGTACAGAAAGTTTGATTATCCTACTGTCTTTGTATAGTTGTATATCCATAGGATGGTACTTACTGGAAGTATGTGTGCATCTACAATTTTAATAATACTGCCTGCTTGGCCTCTTAAAAGTTGTATTCAGTGGTGTGTAGCTTAGTGGTAGAGTGCTTGCTTAGCATGTGCAAGGTCTTGGTTTCCACCCCAGTACTATGCATATACACACAGGTTGTATTACTAGAGCTTTTTTTTTTTTTTTTTTTTTTTTTTTTTTTTTTTTGGTATCGGGGATTGAACTCGGGACCTTGCACTTGAGAGGCAGACAGTGGAACCACTGAGCTAAATTCCCAGCCCTAGAGCTTTTAACTTGTGGTAATCAGATAAGTGAAAAGTTAGAATTTCATTACAGAATAGTGTTTTTAAAATTATGAGAGTGGCTTTGGTTGTACCTTGGGGTAATTATTTGCCTAGCATGTGTGAGATTTGATCCCTAGCACTGCCAATAAGTTTTTTTGTTTTTTTGGGGTTTTTTTTGGTACTGGTGATTGAACTCAGGACCTTGAGCTTGCAAGACAGGCATGGTGCCACTGAGCTAAATCCCCAGCCCCACTTCCAATAAGTATTGAATGAATTTGATCAGATCTTCATATGCTTGCTGGCTCTTTAGATTTTCTTTTTCTTTTCTTTTCTTTCTCTTTTTTTTTTTTTGCAACAAAACATTTATTGGTACATTTTAGGCATACATAATGTTAACACTCATCATAGGGAATTTACACCTCTACATGTTACATCCTCCCTCTTCCCATTTCTCCCTCCCTTCGAGTCCCCTCCCCCTCCCTATGTACAAAAGCTTTGTTTCCACTTCCTATTTGAACATTTTCTTCCTATTTCCCAATACCTATTATACACTTTATTCCTTATTTCCACTTTCAGTTTCTCACACCAGAGAAACAATGCAGTATTTAAATGTGTGTCCAATTTATTTCACTTAAGAAATATGGTCTTGGCTGGGGATTTAGCTCAGTGGTGCTGCTGCATGCCTTATAAGAGCAAGGACCTGAGTTCAATCCTCAGTACCCAAAAAAAAGAATATGATCTCAAGGTGCATCCTGGCTCTTTAGATTTTCAATGCAAGATTTCAGATATGAGTATTATTATTTGTTTTTTTTTTGTTTGTTTTTTATTTTAATTTTATTTTTTTGGTACCAGGGATTGAACTCGGGACCTTGCACTTGCTGGGCAGGCGGAGGAACCACTGAGCTAAATCCCCAGCCCAGAGTATTATTATTTGAATATGGCTCTGAAGAGACGCAGGCACAGCAATGAGCACCTTTAGTTTCAGTTACTTGTAAGGTTGTAGTAGAAGGGGGTCACTTGACCCTAGAGTTTGAGGCCAACCTGGTCTATGTGGCAAAACCCCATGTCCTAATAAAAGCAATGGTATTATGAACGTGAGGTGTCACTGAGATAGATGCCTGTGACTGTCAGGACTTCCCACTTTGACTACTTTTCTCTTTAATTTTAGGTGATCATGGAGCTCAGCTTGGCCTCCATGGGGCAGGTGGTGATGGGATGCATGATGATACAGCAGGTGGAGAGGAAGGAGAAAACAGCCCAGATCCACAACCCCAAGCTGGTCGGAGGACCCGGCGGGAAGCATGCACCTGTCCCTACTGTAAAGACAGTGAAGGAAGGTGAGTTGACCCGGTAGACTCTATTTAGCATAAAGAAAAATAATGGACTTAGAGGTAAAAGGAAGGGGGTAAGTTTTGAATATTTAACCTCACCACCAGGTTTAGAGATACATTACCTATAATCTGAGTAGCTCAGGAGGCTGAGGCAGGATTGATCGCAAGTTTGGGACCAGCTGAGCGGTAATTTAATGAGACTTTTTCTCAGAGTAAGTTTTTTAAAAACAGGCTAAGCATTCAGAGGGCTGAGGAAGGAGGATTGGGAATTTAAGGCCAGCTCTGACTACATAATGAGATCCTGTCTCAAAAAAATAAATAAGCCAGGCGTGATGGCACATGCCTATAATCTCAGCACTCAGAGGCTGAGTTAGAGGATTGTCATGATTTTGAGGCCAGCCTGGGTTACATAGTTCAAGGACAGCCTGAACTACGTAATGAAATCTTGTCTTAAAAATTCCACAAAAGAAAAGGAGGGAGAGAGGGAGAGGGAGGGGAATAGGGAGAGAAAGAGAGAAAAGAAGGAAGGAAGGGAGGGGGAAGGAAGGGAGGGCGCGTGGGCAAGCACACAAAAGAGGCCTGGGAATGTAGCTCAGTGGTAAAGCCCTCCTGGTTGTTCCCCCATACCACAAAATGAATGGAGGAAGAAAGGAAGTGAGGGTTGGCTGGGGATGTGGCTTAGTGGTAGAGTACACCTGAGTTTAATTTCCAGTATCTCACATACAATTAGTAATAATGCTTACCCTGGATAGAAAATTCTCCTATGGAGGAATCTGAAGTGTCCCCCAAAGCAGGGTTCTGAGAGATTTTTTATTAGTGGCATGTGTTACTTATCTTGGAAGAGTTACATTTTCCTTGAAGTCACTGCTTTTGAAAAAGAATAGATACTAGTCTTTTAAGTGCCTTTGAAAAAATCTGAAGTGTTGTCCCAGTAAAGTAAGTACAAAAATAGAAAATAAGAAAAGTACCAAAAAAGAAAATAGTTTGAGTTTAATAACATAGTTTATCCTGTATTAGAGGAAAAGCAGAGGTGGTAAGTCTGAAGTGCTCAGTACAGTGTATGTAGCTCTAACAGACTTTAAAGTGGCAGTGGCTTGTTTTTGAAGAAATTTCTCAATTCTAGCTAAGTATGATTTCACTTCTGTTATATTTTTTCCTCTGTTCAAATGTACTATTAAAACCCAAGAAAATACCTTCTTGGAAGTTTCCCCCATGCCTACTGGGGATGGATAACACATAGAACAAATTGGTTTGTCAAGTAAACATTTGAGAACTGATTTCTGAGAGTAGCTTGGGTTCTGTTCTGTATAGAAATTTTTTTTTTTTCTTTTTAATGTTCCTTGAAATAGTTAGATCCGTGTCCCCCTGCCTAGCCCTTTGTTTTTGAAGTAAATTCTTGCTGTTACCCAGCCTGGCGTATAACTTCTGGGCTCAATAGATCCTCTTTCCTCACCCTCCTTCTTAGCTGGAACTGCAGACACATGCCACCAAACTCCAACCCATTCTTGTTTTCCTCTGACATCCCTGATACTGCTCTAGCTATTGAACTTTTAATCTGTAATGTAGGACTCTCAAGCTGATAGAAAAGTTTTATAATTATGATACCTGTACTTTATTCTCTTTAAGATTCTGTACCAACTGCTTAAAAGGATAGATCCTTTGTTCATTGAGTAAATCTCCAACAAAAAATTTCACCATGTCATCCTGTGGAGTGGTACACACCTGTAATCCTAGCATTTTGGAAAGCGAGATAGAAGGATCACAAGTTCCAGCTCAGATGCAGCGATTTAGTGAGACCTATCGCAAGGAAAATAAAAAGACTGGCATATAGCTTAGTGGGAAGTCCCTGGATTCAATCCCTATTACTGCAAAAAGAGAAAGGGAGGAGGAGGAAAGAAAAAAGTATCACTGTCATTATTTCTTTTGGGGAAAACTTGTGAGACTGAAACATCTGAGAAAGATACAAAAAAATACTTCCAAATTTCAGAAGTCACCATAAGGGTGATTATCATCTCCTTAAACGTACAGTGATGTTAAGGACAAGAGCACAGAAGAGTTGAAGCCTAAAGTTTGAGTTTGGAGAATTAAGAACCAAAATCAAGGGCTCAAAATGTAGGCCTGGATTTAATCTCCAATGTGGCCAAAAGAAATTGGAACTAGAATCAGCTAAAAATGTATCTTTTTTTCTTGCTATCAAGTTCAGGCTGGCCTTGAACTCGGGATCCTCCTGCCTCAGCCTCCTGAGTTCTATGGTTATAGGCATGTGCCACTATACATGGCAAAAACTTTTTTTCCTGGTACCAGAGATCGAACTCAGAACCTTGTGCTTCCAAGGCAGGTGCAATGCCACTGAGCTAAATCCCTGGCCCACAAATGTATTTTTAAAAAGATTTCTTTGTTAGGTATGGTGGCACACACCTATAACCCTAGCACTCAGGAGACTGAGGCAGGAGAATCACCATGAGTTCAAGGCCAGCCTATACTACAAAGTGAGAACTTGTCTCAAAAAAAACCAAAAATACCCAATCAATAAGTAAATAAATAGGGCCCAGGATTTAGCTCAGTGGTTCCGGTGCCTGCTTTGCAAGCGCAGGGACCCAAGTTCGATCCCTGGTACCAAAAAAAAAGTAAATAAATAAACAAATTTGAGACGTGGGCATGACAGTGCAGACATATACCCCCTCCCCCAACACATGAAGGCAGAGGCAGGAGCCTCCGTGCCAAACGTGGTGGCATGTGCCTGCAATCCAGCACTCAGGAAGCTAAGGCAGGAGGATCATCACAAGTTCTAGGCCAGCCTGGGTTACATAGTGAGCTCATGGACAGCCTGAATTACATAATGAGACCCTGTCTCAAAAACAACAACAACAACAAAAAAAAAAGTTCAACCTCAGCCTCAGCTACATAGTTCAAGGCAAGAATGGACTACAGAGCCTCTGTCTCTCAAAAAGAAGGAGGAAGGAAGGGAAGCGAGTGAGCAAGTTTAGGGTCTGAGATTACGATCGTAGCTTAGTTAGTGGTAAAGCACTTGTGTAGTGTGCGTGAATCCCTAGACTCCCTCCCCAGCACTGCACAAATAAAAGTTTGAGTTAGTTTTGAGTTGGTTCTGTAATTACCGTTGACACTTTGCAGTTCTTTAATTTCTTTTTTCAGAATGAGTAATAGTGTGTTGTAACTTTCAGGGGATCTGGGGATCCTGGCAAAAAGAAGCAGCATATTTGTCACATTCAAGGCTGTGGCAAAGTGTATGGCAAGACCTCACATCTACGGGCACATTTACGTTGGCATACAGGCGAGAGGCCATTCATGTGTACCTGGTCATACTGTGGGAAGCGCTTCACACGTTCGGATGAGCTACAGAGACACAAGCGCACACACACAGGTGAGCAAGAGACTAGGGAAGAGAGAAGGAAGGAGCCAGGTTTCAAGTAGGATTGGCGGGGGGGAGTACCAGGGACCGAACTCAGGACCTTGCACTTGTGAGGCAGGCAGCTACATCCCCAGCCCCTCAAGTGGGATTTTTAAAAGGAGGACTCTTGACCTCATTACTCTCTTTAGTCTCTGTCCTGCCTACTTTTCTGCAAAGTTCTGCTGACCTTACAGCATAATCCCCAACACAACCCCTTCCCTGTACCGGGGTTAGAACTCAGGATCTTGCTCTTGCAAGGCAAGTGCAGCACAACTGATCTTAATCCCTGACCCTTATTTCCCAATCTTTATCTGAGTTATTTTCCCCTAAAATGAAAAGAACACTAGGCAGATTACTTTTGTTTCTTATTACCTTCTGATAATATAGTTGGAAGGTGGTAAATTGGGTAGGGTATCCCACTTCCGGACATGTCAGCTTCTTACCTTCTTTCTTTTCCTAGGTGAGAAGAAGTTTGCCTGTCCTGAGTGTCCTAAGCGCTTCATGAGGAGTGATCACCTGTCAAAACATATCAAGACCCACCAGAATAAGAAGGGAGGCCCAGGTGTAGCCCTGAGTGTGGGCACTTTGCCCCTGGACAGTGGGGCAGGTTCAGAAGGCAGTGGCACTGCTACCCCTTCAGCCCTTATTACCACCAATATGGTAGCCATGGAGGCCATCTGTCCAGAGGGTATTGCTCGTCTTGCTAACAGTGGCATCAACGTCATGCAGGTGGCAGATCTGCAGTCCATTAATATCAGTGGCAATGGCTTCTGAGATCAGGCACCAGGGCAAGAGACATATGGGCTAATACCCATCAACGTTGGGATGCAAGTTAGCATGGGTCCAAGAGACACGTGGGAAAGAGAGCCATGAGGCATTAAAATACATGGTGGTGGGAATTGGGGGAGAGAAAGAAGAAATGGGGTCCTGGAACCCATCTGTATCATCAGTGCCTCCTTGAAGGTGGAAACATTAGTGAAAATTCTGTTGGTGCCATCCTTTGATGAGCATTTGTTTGATCCCAGTTTCTTATACTTCTTACCCTAGCCTCCCCTTTGTACGTTTTCCCTTCTCAACTCTCCCGTGGTGGATCCCCCCTTTCCTAAAGCCATCATGCCTTGATAAATATATATGATCATTGAAATACTTTTTAACAAAAAACAGATTCTATATTATAT